AAAGGTCAAAGAGAATATATTTCAGCAGATAATGCTTGTTTTTGTTTGATACTGGTGCATGTTGAGCCTCTTTCTTCCATCCAGCTGTTTAAAGCCCTGGATCCTGATCCCTTTTAGCATTTCTTTATCTGCTAATTCTTCTTTGGTTTTGGAGGAATCAAGACCTTGTTGAATACAGTCTAGCTCCATTCCAAGTCTCTTTGTGGACCAGAGTGTTAAAATCCAGGATATACGTATCTTCTGCCCCTTGTCTAGGTAAGGTAGAAAATGCTATGGACCATAGGTAGACTATTAAAAAATGACTGGCTATTCTTTTTTAAAATGACTTTGATTTGTTTATAAAATAAATATTCAGTGGAAACACATGGGCAATTTTCTGGTGTTTTACATGTTTTTATACGTAGACTGTTGATGTTTTCCTTTTGAAGAAAAGGCTGGTATGAAGTGTAGATATTAAATAAAGGCAAGTGGAGGTCTAGTGAAGAAGAGTTACACTTAAATAAATGGTAGCCAGGAAATGAAGCTCTTTAGGGCATATCTTTCCTATTCCTGGCAATGAATAATAGGAAATTATTGTTTTAAAAGAGTTATTTGGCATCAGGATATGCAAGTGCTATTTATTTGTTTAATCAATTTATACAATTACTATTTCAGCAAGTGACTCTGAACAGCAGATAATACCGAATAGGATAAAGCCAGTGATACTCTGAATGCAAAAATTAAACACAAAAATTAAAATAAATAGCAGGCAAGCAAGAAAAATATTTGAAAATAGCTGCTATCAGCACTCATTCACCAGGCTTGAAGAAAATTAATGCAAGATCTATATTCTCTAGAAATAGATTTTATGTCAGTTCCAGGCATGCTTAGAACCAGGGGTGGGATTCAAATTTCTGAACAACCGGTTCTGTGGGCATGGCCTAATTTGTGGGTGTGGCTTGGTGGTCATGTGACTGGGTGGGCATGGCTTGCTAACGGCATGGCTAGGTGGTCATGTGATGGGTGGGCATGGCTAGGTGGTAGTATGATGGGTGGGTGTGGCTAGGTGGCCATGTGACTAAGGTGGGCATAGCTAGGTGGCCATGTGACTGGCAAACCAAATATAAGTGGTCCTCGCTTAATGGCCGGTTGCTTAGCAAGCGTTCTAATTTACGACTGAACACCCCAGAGCTACTTGACCTGTTTTTGGTGTTCTGACAGCCATACATACATACACACACACACACACACACTTATGACCAGTTAAAACATCCCACACAGTCTTGTGACTGAGGCTTTCTATGTTTTTTGCCAGTTTCCAAGGCCTGGGGAGCCCCAGCGAGCTACGGGAGGCCCAAGGAGGGCAGGGCGAGGCCCAGGGAGCTACAGGGAGGGCAGAGGGTGGCGGTGCTACCTTGAGCTGCTCTGCAATAGGAAAGGGGTTGGAACTGCACATTCTTACCAAGGCAGAAGTTAACGCCTTAAACCACTAGCCAGGATATTAGGGACAAGAATAGCTTGCTTATATGAAAGACCCTAAAAACCACATAGCTGGCACATGAAACAAGGCCACTTTGCAAGATACCCTTGACCTGGGGTGAAACACAGGTGATGCGACATTTAGCTATGTAGGGGTCTGAGATCCAAATAACCAATCAATATTATCTGTTTTGACTAGAGTAGTAATTTCTGCTTGAAAGCAGAAGTGCTTGAAAAAGAATTGAGCGGTGAAGATTTTTCTTGCTTTTTTAAAATTGCTTCTCTGAATCCTGAAGATACTGAACCATGATTTATTTAGACACAATGTTTATACATGTTGAAGAAAATTTGTTGTTATATAGCAGCACATTGTTTCATTGTGTGAATGAAAGCAGATGATAGTTTATTGTGCACCCAGCTAGGGTAGCTTATTCAATAAACCATGGCTAGTCGAATCCTGAATTATAATTCCGTGCGTGTGAGCGAGGAGGCGGTGAAAGACTAAGTATGAACCCACATCGCCTCAGCCACCTTCCACCAATCGGTTTGGCAGAATACTGTATGATGTCAGAGCTTAAGTTCTCATTAGCAGCGCGGGTAAGGCAAAAAAACTAAAAGAGCCCCGCCTTTGTCATAGCACAGGTTGATTGGCTGGCTTAGCTGTCTGTTTCCATACCAGTCGAGGGTGCTACGGGGTTTAAAGGGAGGATTTAGGAAACAGATGAGAAGCGTTTGGTGCAGACGTTTTGTGAGGTACGTTGGGTAAGGATTGAGATGAAGTTTTTGTTATCTGAAAAATTGACCCTTCGTATAAGATTTCCTGGCTGATTTATAGATTTTTCTACTGTTTCTCTTGTGATCAAAGATTATATGGGATAAATGTTTAGGTCACAAATCTTTTCTAGACTATGATCAAAGATTATATGGGATAAATGTTGTGTTAGGGACACAAATCTTTTATAGACTATTTGCAAAGTGCCTCATTACAGCGCCTGTTTTGTTAGGGATTTTTTGCCCAAGATCCCGCTAAGACCGTCCTGCTGATTTGCTTTTGAGTCCCAAATTCAGGGCGCTTTCCTGCATTTAGAATGGTGGGTGGATGCAGCTTGAATTTCCAAGTCTCAGGACGGAGAAAGCGGAGGCAAGTACCCTCTACTACAGACTGCAGCATTTGTTTGCTTTGCTAGTCGAGGAAAAATGTTAAAATTGCGGGAAGCCAGGACAAGAAGATTGCCAAATCGGGTATGCCAAATTAGTAACCTTTTTTCTTCCTAAAAAAAAAAAAAAAGTCACGAAAAAGGCTTTTCTTTCCTTGTCCAAATTGGAACTGAAGGATAATTCTGGAAAAAAAAAAAGATTATCAACTGATAAAGGATAAGTAACAAATATAGTTATTTAGTAATAACTGTTGGGTATCTAACAGCAACTGAATAATGTTGCTGTAAATTGCCTGTGAACGTCTATTAACAAGCAGGTTGCTCTCAATGCTAAAAAACAGTTACCAAGACTCTCATAAAATGTCTACTTTGGGTGAATGGATGGCACTGAATCTTAGGAGGTATTGCTTTGAAGTTGTTTGGAAGGTGGAAAACAGGTAACTCTCGCTCTGAGCTGAAAGGCGGCATTTGTAGGATGGTACACTTGAGTCATTTTTTTGCTCCTTCTAGGGATCTTTGCTCCTTTGAAATCAACTGATCTTTTGGAGTGATTTCTGTGAAAGGAGCAGCTGTGTACTGTGTAATGCAAATGTATTTAAAGGCAAGTTTTTATTGTATAAAGGCATTTTTAAACGCTTAAGACAGCACTATGACTTTTGGGACATTATATATATAAATATGTATATTATATATGTATATACACATGCATGCATGCACATATATGTGCATTTGTGTGTATGTTCAGATTTTAGGATAAGCTCTGTTTCTATTTTGTTGGCTGTCAAGCCGAAAGAATCTCACAATAGGTTGTATTTTAACTAGTTTTCTGTATTTAATGCAGGTGGATCATTTTCTTCCAGAAGAAACCCTTGCCTTTTTCACTGGCTCAACTCACATCTTCTCAACCATTATGGTTCTGGAAGCAAAAGCCGTTGTCCATCACCCATACTGGCCTCAGAATTTGGAAATCAAAAATTACGTCCCAAATGACCAGCCCTTATGGCAGATCTTGACATACTTCTTCTCTGTTGTAGGAATTCTCATGATATTGATCTGGTTTGTAGCAGGCTGGTGGAGCAAGACCTGGGGCCCTTTTGGAACTTGGCGCACCTTGATCATTGGCTGGTTTACCATCTGTGGTTTTATTCATGCTGTAATTGAAGGCTGGTTTGCCCT